TCACCCCATGGAACATTCTCCAAAATTGATCATATCATAGGATACAAAACAAACCTCAACAGAATCAAAAGAATTGAAATTTTACCTTGTATCTTCTCAGACCATGAGGTACTCATGGAAAGAGAGTGGAACTCAACTCCAACAAAAACGTTCATCCCCACACAAAGGCATGGAAATTAAACAACCTTCTGTTGAATGACAGTTGGGTGCAGGAAGAAATAAAAGAGTAAATCATTAACTTCCTTGAGCATAACAACAATGAAGACACAAGCTACTAAAACCTGCAGGATATTGCAAAAGCAGTTTTGAGAGGAAAATTTATCACTTTAGATGCCTACATTCGAAAAATAGAACGAGAGAGCATCAACAAACTCATAAGCCATCTTATGGAATTGGAAACAGAAGAACAATCTAAGCCTAAAACCAGCAGAAGAAAAGAAATATCCAAAATCAAATCAGAGATCAATGAAATTGAAAACAAAAGAATCATTCAGAAAATTAATGAAACAATGAGTTGGTTTTCTGAAAAATTAAATAAAATAGATAAACATTTGGCCAGACTAACTAAAAATAAAAAAGTAAAATCTCTAGTAAACTCAATCAGAAATGATAAAGGGGAAATAGCAACTGATGCCACAGAGATACAAGAGATCATCTCTGAATACTACCAGAAACTCTATGCTCTGAAATTTGACAATGTGAAGGATGGATCAGTATTTGGCATCACATCCTCTCCCTAGACTTAACCAGGAAGAAATAGAGCTCCTGAACAGGCCAATTTCAAGCACTAAGATTAATGAAACAATAAAAAATCTTCCAACAAAAAAATACCCTGGTCCAGATGACTTCACACCAGAATTCTATCAAACCTTCAAGGAAGAGCTTATTCCTGTACTCCAGAAATTATTCCAAAAAATTGAGGATGAAGGAATCTTCCCCAACATGTTCTATGAAGCAAACATCACCCTGATACCAAAACCAGGAAAAGACCCAACTAAAAAGGAGAATTTTAGACCAAGTTCATTAATGAATATAGATGCAAAAATTCTCAACAAAATCCGAGCCAATAGACTACAGCTTTCATCAAAAAAATCATACATCATGATCAAGTAGGTTTCATCCCAGGGATGCAAGGCTGGTTTAACATATGTGAATCCATAAACATTATACACTGTATTAACAGAAGCAAATACAAAGACTATATGAGCCCCTGAATAGATGCAGAAAAAGCATTCAATAAAATGCAGCATCCTTTTCTAATTAGAACACTGAAGAGTATAGGCATAGGTGGCACATTTCTGAAACTGATAGAAGCTATCTATGACAAACCCACAGCTAATATTTTACTGAATGGAGTAAAACTGAAAGCTTTTCCTCTCTGAACTGGAACCAGAGACAAGGTTGTCCTTTGTCACCATTACTATTCAACATAGTGCTGGAAGTTCTAGCCAATACAATTAGGCAAGACAAGGAAATAAAGGGCACCCAAATGGGAGCAGAGGAGGTCAAACTCACCCTTTTTGCTGACAATATGATCTTATACTTAGAGAATCCCAAAGACTCAACCACGAGACTCCTGAAAGTCATTTAAAAATACAGTAATGTTTCAGGATATAAAATCAGTGTCCACAAGTCAGTTGCCTTTGTATACACCAAGAACAGCCAAGATGAAAAGCTAATTAAGGACACAACTCCCTTCACCAGCTTCAAAGAAAATGAAATACTTAGGAATATACCTACCAAAAGAAGTGAAGGACCTATATAAAGACAACTATGAAATCCTAAGAAAGGAAATAGCAGAAGATATTAAGAAATGGAAGAATACACCATGCTCATGGCTAGGAAGAATCAATATTGTTAAAATGTCTATACTTCCCAAAGCAATCTACCTCTTCAATGTCATCCTATTAAAATATCAACATTACACTTTCAAGATTTGGAAAAAATGATTCTGCATTTTGTATGGAACCAAAAAAAAAAAAAAACCCTATATAGCTAAAGCAGTTCTTAGTAATAAAAACAAAGCTGGGGGCATTACCATACCAGATTTTAGGCTGTACTACAAAGCCATAGTGGTCAAGACAGCATAGTACAGATACAAAAATAGAGACATAGACATTTGGAATCAAATAGAAAACCAGGAAGTGAAACTAACATCTTACAACCACCTAATCTTCGATAAACCAAACAAAAACATACCTTGGGGGAAGACTTCCTATTCAATAAATGGTGCTGGGAGAACTGGAGATCCACATGGAAAAGACTGAAACTGGACCCACACCTTTCCCCACTCATGAAAATTGATTCAATATGGATAAAGGACTTAAATTTAAGGCATGAAACAATAAAAGTCCTCAAAGAAAGTATAGGAAAAAGACTGGATGATATTGGCCTGGGGAAAGACTTCATGAAGAAGACTGCCATGGCAATTGCAACAACAAAAATAAACAAATGGGATTTAATTAAACCAAAAAGCTTCTATACAGCTAAGGAGACAACCACCAAAACAAATAGACAACCTACACAAGGGGAAAGGATATTTGTATATTTTGAATTAGACAAAAACTTGATAACTAGGATCTATAGAGAACTCAAATTAATCCACAGGGAAAAAAGCCAACAATCCCATATATCAATGGGCAGGAGACATAAATAGAACCTACTCTAAAGAAGACAGACGAATGGCTAACAAACATATGAAAAAATGCTCATCATACATAATTATTAGAGAAATGCAAATCAAAACCACCCTGAGATACCATCTAACCTCAGCAAGTATGGCCCCATCACAAAATCTCAAAACTGCAGATGCCGGTGTGGATGTGGAGAGAAAGGAACACTTTTACACTACTGGTGGGACTGCAAACTAATACAACCTTTTTTTTTTTTTGAGACAGAGCCTTAAGTTGTCCCCCTCGGTACAGTGCTGTGGCATCACAGCTCACAGCAATCTCCAACTCCTGGGCTCAACCTCAGCCTCCCAAGTAGCTGGGACCACAGGCACCCGCCACAACACCCGGCTGCTTTGTTTTGGTTGCAGCCGTCATTGTTTTGGCGGCCCCGGCTGGATTTGAACCCGCCACCTTAGGTGTATGTGACTGGCACCTTAGCCACTTGAGCTACAGGCGCCGAGCCAATACAACCTTTTTGGAAGGAAGTATGGAGACCCCTCAAAGAACTAAAGCTAGACCTCCCATTTGCTCCTGCAATCCCATTACTGGACATCAACCCAGAAGGAAAAAAATCCTTTTATCATAAGGACACTTGCATTAAACTGTTTATTGCAGCTCAATTTACAATCGCCAAAATGTAGAAACAGCCTAAATGCCCACCAACCCAGGAATGGATTAACAAGCTGTGGTATATGAATACCATGCAATACTATTCAGCCATTAAAAATGGAGACTTTACAGCCTCTGTGTTAACCTGCATGGAAGTGGAACACATTATTTTTAGAAAGCATCACAAGAATAGAGAATCCTATGTACTCAATTTTGATATAAGGACAATTAATGACATGATGGGGGTAGGGGAGGGGGAGAGCAGAGAGAGGAAGAAAGAGGGAGGGGTGGGGAAGGGAATAGCAGAGAGAGGGAAGGAGGGAGGGGGTGGGGTCTAGGTGTGTGCTGCACCTTTTGGGGGCAAGACATGATTGTAAGAGGGACTTTACCTAACAATGCAATCAGTGAATCCTGGTTTCTTATACTCTCAATGAATCCCCAACAACAAATTAAAAAAGAAAAGAGATATATATTATTGTATAGGGCATAGAACATAAGATGACACAGTTATAACCAGAATTTTTAAAAACTTTATCTTTTAATTTCTTCATTTTTCTTTTAGACATTTGGTTTAAAACTACTCAGGAAGGAGAATAAAGAGGTGATGATATGTTATGAAGAGCATTTAGGCCACTTTCAGCTTGCTCTTAGGACTTCCAGAAGTTGGGGGGTAAAAAAATTATTAATGGGAAGTTTTGGTTTATCACTGAATTTTAATTTATTAATAATGTTATATTTCTTCTCCGTTAATTTGAGGAATTGTTAAAAACGAACTTATTCTCTCTTTAATGGCTTCCATTCCTTATTAAAAATATATAAAAATATACATTGTTTCAAAAATTTAGAACTCTTGTTTAGAATGCAAATATTTATTTTGATGGATTTGCTTTGGTGGGTCACTCTTATTCATTTGACACTTGCTTATGGAGTCCCTTTTATAAGTGGGCTAGATGCTGAGGGACGTAATGGTGAATAAAAGAAGATATGACTCTTGCTCTCATAAGCTTACATATAATCCAGTGGAGGACACAAACATTGAATAAAATGGTCACATAAACATTAAAAAAAGTATCAAACAGAATATAAAATAATACACTAATAGTTAAACAAAAGATAGAATTAGCAACATGAGTAAAGAGTGGAGCAGAGGACTATTAAGATGACCAAGTAGATATGAAAGAGAATTAAACAGAACTTCTATAAAGGAAAAATTGAGAGTTGAAATTTTAAAACTTATGAATGGCTTTACTTCCAGGTTATACACAGCTGAAGATAGAATTAGTGGACTGGAAGGCAGATCCAAAGAAAGTATCCAGAGAATGACATAGAAAGTCAGAGATGAAAATATGGGAGATAGGTGAAGAGACATGGGTGGGAAAGCATGTCTAACATATGGTTATTTGAAGGTACAGTGAGAAAGGGAGGAGGCTGGAGTCAAGGCAATAGTTGAAGAGATAGTGGATGAGAGGTTTCCAGAAATGCTGAAAGACAATGAATTGTAAGTGAGCTGAAAAGTCTACAGAATATAGAGGAGAAGTCCTTTGAACTTGTTTAAACCAGTATTTCCTATACTGATTTGACCACAGGACCCCCTATTACCACATTGGAGATCAAGGTTCTCTCTTTGGGAAACTGATTTTGGATCTTTGTTGGAGACATCACTTCAGCAACTTGTTTCTAAACTTTCCCTCCCTTGGCTCTTATCCTCAATTCCTGCAGAATTACGGGCCCAGATGAGAAGATTTGAGGAGCTGCTGCCCCAAGTGTGTTGGCTGGTGATGGAGAATTTCAAGGACCAACACTGGAAAAAATTTTGCTCCTCCATGAAAGAGATGAGAGGACAGTTTGAGGAACAGCAGAAGCAGCTAGAGAAAAGAAAGGTGAGGGGCCCCAGCCCTTACACTGCTACAGGACATGGGGTCTCAGTGTTCTGAAATAGAGGCAGGTCATAGACAAACCCAAGTACAAGGGAAGGCGATAAGCCAGGCTTGAAATTATTGGATGGAGGCTGAGGGATAGGAGGCATTGGTAAAATAAGAACTGAGCCAAAAGATTCTTCACAGAAGGAGCTCAGTAAACTCCTTATTGGATTTAATGGGTGAGTCTGCTGGGTTCCGTGGGGCTGTAGTCATTGAGATCAACAATTATCCACAATGGCCTTTGCAGCTGTGGAACAGGGATGCTACTGATTTCCCTAGATTAAAGCCCTGATTGTGCTGTACAGATCCTCGGCCTGCCCTCTTTTGAGCCCTCTGAGACAGTTCCAGCCCTACCCCTGGCTTGCCCTCTCTGCCACTTCTTTGCCCACCATTGCCTCCCACCCCCACACACACATCCAGTGAGAAGATATGTCTGTCTGACCCATGGTCATAATTGACAGAAGACATAGACCAGTGACTTTTTTGGTCCTGACCTCAAGGCTAGGTCAAAATCTCCATTGAATTCTTTATTGTTTGATTGAAGGATGAAAATGCTCAGAAGCTCCATCCAAATCTTGGACACCCTGTATATTACCAAGAAATAAAGTCTCTACAACTAGCAGAGGAGGAAAGGCAGAAAGAGCTGGACAACGCAATTAGCATGAACAAAGAGAAGCTGGAGGTCAGTGGGTGCCATTGAGTCCCCAGCCTGGGTGCCCTCCAGAAAGATGGCACCAGTGGACAGCCACTGACAGCACCAAGTGCTTTCTTTGTTTGGCACCTTGGCCAAAGTGGGCACTGAAAGTGGGTGGGTTCTGTGGATGAAAATGGTCATTACTGGATGTTCTCACTTATATCCTCTTTGATTTCTAAATTACTTAATTATAAAGTTACTAATGATGACTTTTTATCACAATCTATGTTTAAGTGTATTTTCTCTTCTGTGAACTGTCTATGTGTGTCCTTCAGCCATTTCTGAATCATTTCTTATCTTCAAGCCAATCACCTCTTGATGAAGACAGATACCAGTCTGGTCTGGGCTCACCCAGCCAGCTCCACCCAGCCACTCTCTCAGGTGGCCTTGGAGGGGAAGTCCTCTCCCTACAGGACTGTGCTCACTGTGTTTCTTTCAGGAATTTACCAGGAAGTATGGCCGGTTTTTCATAGGCAACTTGGCCGCCTTCACTGAGAAGTTCCTGCTGCAGTTGGATGAAGTGGTCACCATCGATGATGTCCAGGTTGCAAGTAAGTGGTGCCACCAGCCTTGTGCCCTGGCCCTGGGGATTTGGCAAGGAGTAGGTGGGGGATGGGGTCTGCTTTTCTAACTTTACCAGCGTGAAAACAGGTTTTCTATGGAGGGGACTGACAAATTTTTGTTTGTTTTCATCAAAAATAACTTTTTGGTTGGAAAAGGCAAATGCTGTATGGGTCAAAGACTACATGAAAATGAAACACTAATAGTATTTTCATACTCTTGGGGTTAGGAAAACCTTTTCTAAGTATGGCCTGGGAGCCAGAAGCCCTAGAGGACATGGCTGGCACTTCTCTGTAGCCAAACAAAACAAAACAAAACAAAACCCAGAAAATTGTTGAAAGACAGAAAGATGAGCCAAAAACTGGAAACGTATTCCTCACAACCTATAAGTCAGAGAAATAATTAATATCCTTGTGGTACAAATACCTCTCACTGGTCAAATTTTTAAAGAGAAAGAAGATATACACACACTTCAAAAGGGAAGCAATTCATATGGCCAGGAATTGTAAAAGAGGCTCAGCCTCACTGACGACAGAAACTGAATGTGAACGTTATTCAGATACCATTTTTCACCAATAGCCTACCAAAGTTTTTAAGTTTGGTGACAACCAGCCCTGGCGAGGATGTCAGGAAACAGACACTCCACAGAGACCGGTAGTGAGAGTTGACATGGATACTACCCTCTTGGAGAACCATTTGTCAGTCCCTGTCAGTTCTAATTCTAGGAATTTATCTAACAGAAATATATCTGGACATTTCTTCAAAGATACATGTTCAAGAATATTTATCACAGCACAGCGTTGCTTGAAATGGAAAAATCTGGAAGTAATACCAGTATCAGTCTATAGGGAATTAGAAATGTGAGTGACAGTACAAATGTACAGTGAATACCACAGTTCTGCCACAGGGAGGGTGGCAGGTCTGCATATACTGACTCAGAAAGACTTGCGGAAAGACCATCATACAAAAAAACCAAATTGACACACAAGACTGTCTATGATCTCGTTTAAAAAACCACATAGGTGATATCAACATCATACTCACATATGTGTAAATCAATCTGTGTGAGAGACAGTACGAGACAGACGGAGATACAGAGAATGAGAGACGGAGCGTGAGAGATCGGTGCCAAACTGCGGAAGATCATCTCTGCCACGTGGGATTGTGAGAGACCTCAAAATTGTTTTTTTCTCCACCATTAGGTGATGTTTATATTTTTTATAATGTGTACATTACTTTTATAACCCTAAGAAAATTAAATATTACCCATTTATCACTAAGCTATAAAGTATGAAAATACATTCTTTAAGATTTTTATCACAAAACAATGAAGGTTTGTTGTAGTAAAATGAGGGATTCTATCTTTTTTTTTTTTGACCGGGGCTGGGTTTCAACCCGCCACCTCTAGGCATATGGGGCCAGCACCCTACCCTTTTGAGCCACAGGCGCTGCCCTATAACAAGGGATTCTATATGAACCAAGAAGCCAATGAAGAACACACTCCTTCCACTCCTTCCACTCCATCTGCTGTTCCTCCTTCCACTGCTTTCTGATTGCATACAGGCCTGCGGAGGATTATAGTGACTATACATTCTTGTGGCCTGATTTCTCTGCAGGTGGCCTTTGGCCAGACCAGTCAATGCGCTTCTTCAATATCTTCTGCTGGTATACACTGTAATTTACTAAGCATTATAATTTACTGATTAGTCCCCTGAGATTGAAGACGAGGCCATTTCTAGTTTTTTGCTTCTATAATTGCGCTGAAAAGAATCTCTGCATCCATCCATCTCTATTTTTGGGTAACAGAGTCCTAGATGTGCAGTTTCAGTGTCAAAATGTATACACATTTTTGAAATACTGGCCATTTTCCAATATGGGAGCTCTCTGTCAAGGGTGAATCTCATTTGAGAAAGCAGGGGCCTGCAGAGACACCGCGTTGAGACCCTAGTGGGAACAGGCAGATGAGCTGGCACAGGAGCAGACTATAGTACCTTTCAGGGAGCCACTAAACTGGAAAGACCCCCTGCACTAGGCTGTAGGAGGCTTGTGAGCCAAGCCACCTGGTCCTGCCATTCACAGCAGCGAGGTGCAGATCGGGCCGCTCCTGCCTGCTGGCCCTCACTCGCTACACAGAGGCCCTTTCTCCCCAATCAAGACAACACATCAGAGGTTTGACATTCTAGGACAACCTTCAATGTGTTTGCCCAAAGGGAAATCCTTGGTTCAGAACTCATACAAGCTATCATAAGTCAAAGAAGGTTCTACAAAGCATATCCAGGGACATCAAAAGTGCAGGAAGGTCAGAGCACCAAGCGCAGGGAATCACTCCTCAGATTCCCTAAGCAGTGACCTCTCGTGCCTGCCACCATCCCCAGCTGCACAGCTAGTACATTCAGCTTCTCTAAGGAGAGGGCTCTCCCTGCCATTGGAGACTCCAAGTGGGGAGGAGGAGTGCAAGCCCTCATGTGTCTGCCCCTGGATCTCAGGCTGTCGGTGAGGCCACAGTCAGTAACCTGTCTCTTGTTTGACAGGGACGGAGCCCACCAAGCAGAAAATGTCAATCCTCATAAGGAGGAAGCTCACTGGGCTCTCCCTGGAGGAGGAGAGTGAGAAGCCCCTGACTGAACGTGGGAGCAGGTGAGAGCCAAAAGCCACAAGGGCTAGCACGATGGCTGTCTGTGGGAGGCAGGGCAGTGTAAGGGTAGGGGCTTGGGCTCTGAAGTCAGGCCTGGGAAAGGAGCTGTGCTCTGGACCTCAGTTCCTCATCTGTGAAATGGGCAAGGCTGTCTGCCTTGCATGATGTTATGCTGGGAAAAGAGGTGGTACTGGGTGGCTCAGTGGGTAGGGCACCGACCCCATATACCAAGGATGGCAGGTTTGAACCTGGCTCTGGCCAGCTAAAACAGCAATGACAATTGCAACAATAACAAAAAAAGCTGGGCATTGTGGCAAGTGCCTGTAGTCCCAGCTACTTGGAAGGCTGAGGCAAGAGAATCACTTAAGCCTAAGAGTTGGAGGTTGCTGTGACTACAATGCCATAGCACTCTACTGAGGGTGACAAAGTAAGACTCTCTCTCAAAAAAAAAAAAAGAAAAAAGAAAGAAAGAAAGAAAGAAATGAGGTGGTACAGAGAGTGCTTCTGGAATATACCAAGAGCTCAACAGCTCTTAGCTCCCTTGATAAGGACCAAAGGTGAAAGGGATGCCTGTCTCAGTGGGAGACACATTCCTGGCTCACTGCTGGCGCGGTGAACCGCTTCAACTCAAAGTGCCTGTCTCCTGTACCCCAGGAATGTGACACTGCAAGAAGTAGCCGAGCAGCGAGCAGCGATTTGCCCAGCTCTGTTCTCAGAGGTCTCCGGGGCATAATAGGAAAAGGGGGCCAAGCATGGTGGCCGCCACCTGGCTGGCAGCTTGATAGGGACACTGAAGCCCAGGAAAAAAGAAGCTACTTGCAATGTGGCACTCCCCTCCCCCTCACAACCCATGCTATCTGCACACAATGACTAAAACGGTATGGAAATGCAAAACAGAACTTTTAAAAGTGTAACATTAAATGCTCAGTAGGGATTATTTTTTCATTAAGATGTATAAAGCGGGGGTGGGGGCACTGGGTTCACAACCCAGCCACCCCTACCAAAAAAAAATGTTTAAAGCCATGAGCCATGATAATTGTTTCAAAGAAATGCTAAGCTTTTCCAACTGGGTGGTAGGTAAACCCTGAATGACGGGACTTTCACATACATGTTTGTAGGAAGTGGCCAGGAATCAAACCCAATGAAATCACCATTCAAAACAAGATTCTTGTCCGGAAAACAGTGTCAATAACGACCACGAAAACCACCCTGGGCCACCTGGCGTCTGTGGAAGCCCGAGACGCTGTGTACCTGGTGAGGCAGGGTGGGGTGAGCCTGTCCCTGGGCTGCCTGAGGAAGGTGAGGGGCTTCCCATCATCGGGTACCCTGGCACTTGGCTCACAGGACAGACAACGTGTCAGAGCACTCCAGAGCTACAGGCCTCAGCACCCGGGACATGGGAATGTGGTTATGGGTCATATCCATCCCAGGGCTAATATGGGTCTGAGGCATGACCCCAGTGCTATAGGAGCCCACATGGGGGACACTCTGCCCAGATAAGGGTGGAGAAAGGCTTTATGGAAGAACAGTAGTCAAAGCTGGGGAAAGTTGTCAACAGGCATAGAAGCAACAGTGCATGGTTCCCATGGGGGACAGAGTAGCGGGAGCAGGAACCGTTCCTGAGTACTTGGCCGCTTCTCTTCCTGACATGAGTTAGTTCTGCTGAGTCCTCCTGAGAACACAACGAGGAAGGTAGAATTGTTATTCCCATTTCACTGATAAGGACACTGAGGCCTCCTTCATCCTACTACAGAGTAACAGAGCCAGGATTTGACCTCAGTGCTGTTAGAGTTCTCTGAGGTGGTCCTGATGAGGAGGCTGCACCCAGAAGTCAACCGAGGGACCTCTCAGGTCTGAAGATCCCAAAGAGAAACCTTGTCCTGCCTAGATAGCGATCAGCTGGTCCCACTACTGGGAGAACGCGAAGTGCCCAGGCAGAGGAACAACTCTGCCTGCTGAGTTCAGTAAGGGCAAGAGGCCTGGAGGGCTCAGCCTGTCCAGGAAGCAGGACCTCTGAGGCCCAGGGAGGCTGCAGTGCGGGGCAGAGGTTAGAAAGGGGTGCAGAGTCCAAAGTCAGATAGACATAGCTCTTAGTCCCTGCACAGCCTCTTTCTAGCTGGGTGACCCCAGGCAAGGCTCTGGGCTTTAGTTTCCCCAACTGTAAAATGGGCTGGGGAAGGGAGACAACTTGCCAGCACCTGGAATGGATTAAAAGTCACCTGCCAGCAGGTTCCAGCGTCCCCTAGGGATCGAATCCAGAAGTCGCTCCTCACGAGGCCCCCTCTTGCTGCCTTCCTCCCTACCTTCCAGCAATATTTAGCATTATTTGAGGAGGAGCTGAAGAGGATCCAGAATGACAGCGTGTCTCAGGTGAAGGAAGCACAGCGCTGGAAGGACAGCTGGGAGCGGTCCCTGCACACCATCCAGGGCCTCTACTTGTGACACCCTCCACCCATGCCAAATAAATGCTCTTTTTATGCTGATTCCTTCTCTATCTGCTTACTGCCTATCCATCCCTTCCTCCCTCCATCATCCCTGCTATGCGCCAAGCACTGTAACTTCATCAGTGGACCAGACATGGTGTGGTCCCTGCCCATGTGGAGCTCACTTCCAAGGAGGAAGACAAGCATGAAAGGGGAGGTCCACGTGGTTAGCAGAGATGGTGAGTACCAGGAATCAGTTCCCTGAAATAGACACCAGAACTTCAAAGGAAATAACCTCCAAATGGCATGGTTGGTACTTCATCTTGAAAAATGAAATAATCACAAGTTATGGAGGGGCTCCATAACTCAGTGGTTAGAGAGCTGGCCAGATGCACCAGGGCTGGGGGGTTCAAACCTGGCCTGGGCCTGCTAAACAACGACAACAATAAATAGCTGAGCATTGTGGAGGGAGCCTGTAGTCCCAGCTACTGGGGAGGCTGAGGCCGCTTGAGCCCAAGAGTTTAAGGTTGCTGTGAGCTGTGACACTATGGCACTCTACCGAGGGTGACAAAGTGAAACACTGTCTCAATAAAAAATAAAAAAAGTTATGGGGTAGATGGAACTGGAGAACATCATGGTAAGTGAAATAAGCCAAACAGACAAATCTTGCATATTCTCACTCATATATGGGAGCTAAATATAGAAAACAACTGATCTCCCGGAGACAGAAAGTAGAATGATGGTTACCAGAGTCTGAGAAGGGCAGCAGGAAGGAGGGCATTAAGTGAGGGTGGTTAACAGGTGCAAAAATATAGTTAGATAGAATAAGCAATACCTGATAACACAACAAAGTGACTATAATCAACAATTATTTAAGGTATTCTTTAAAATAACTAACAGAGTAAAATCAGAATATTCCTAACACAAAGAAATGTTAAATACCCGAGGTAATGAATACTCCAACTATCCTGATTTTATTGATTCATATTGTATACCTGTATCAAAACCTTACACGTACCTGATAAAGACATACAACTATTACATACCCACAATCATTTTTTTTAAAATTGTAAATTAAAACAAGTCAATTACTTCTTGGTTTTTGGCTCAGAGCAGGTGTAAATTTTAAAAGGTCAATTAACTTAAAGTTAAGGGAAAATTACATTTTATATGTAACACATGGAGGTTATAATGGCAACTATGCACTGTTGGGATTCCTAGACGCAACAAAGAATTAATCCAATATTTATTGGAGTTTGTGACATAATCGTCTGGCCAAATCATAGTATTTAGTCAAAAATCTCCCAGGCCCCCTTAATTTCCCTAAGGGGCTCTTTAATCCTGTGAGGCTCGGATCATTTTCGTGAAGATCTCCATCATGTCCTCTTTCTTGCTGATTTTCTCTTTTTAAGAGAGAAAGTGGCCTTATCACACAGGTCTCACTTGGACAGGCTGCTCCTGTTCTGCCTCAGCGTCATGAACGCTGTTACTCTCACTGGGTTTGCCTCTCGGCTTTGCCTCAGCTGCATTTTCACCTGCTTCATGTCATTAACGCCTCCCTCCTCCTCCATTTTACAGGGAAAAAACTCAAGTCCAGAGGGTTGATGTGATCTGTTCAAAGCAACACAGCCAGATTAGAACCTCGACCACCTTTAGGCTTTCCTGAAGCATACAGGGACTTGGGGGCAAGTCATTTGTTTTGGAAATGATCCCAAGAAGCAGGAGTGAGGATACGGGGAATGGAGCCTGGGAGGAGAGAAGCCCAAAGGGGCCTTGAGGTGTGGCCATCACAGTGGGTTCAGCCCCCTGAAAGGTGGTGACTCCCCACCCCATCTGGACTGGCTCTGTCCCTGCTGGTGGGGGGTGGCACTGAAATTAACACTCCCACCCTACTGGTTTGTGTCAGCTTGCAGAACAGAGGCCTCCCAGGGAGCCAGAGAGAACCCTCATGCAGGTCACTGTTGGCTTGCCAGAGACCAGCTCCTCAGCAGGTGGGAAAGCTGGAAAGCTCAGGTGGGCCCCAGGACAGAGTGCATGCAGCATTGGGTGACCATGTCGTCACCTCTGGTTTCCCAAGTCCAAGGCCAGGAGCCCTTACACCACTCTTCCAGGACACCTTCTTCCTCAGAGCAGCAGGTCACATGTGCATAGCCCCGTCCAGCTTGCAGCGTGTTCTGCACAACACCATCTAATCTGGTCCCACGGGGAAAGGGGTGGCAGTTGTCATGCAGCCCTTACATTGTAGATAAGGAACATGAAGCTCAGAGAAGTGAAGCTTCACCCTGCACCAAGTATATCCTGGCCTAACTGCTGCCCCCACCCCAGCCTCTCCAGAGTCACACAGCCAGAGAATGACACAGTTATAGGGTTCTAGCCCAGCTGGAGCTGTCCCTGAGGTGCATCTGCCCCCACCAAACAATGTGGCGGGAATACCCAGGTGCTTTGTAAGTGGGAAAGCACCCAGAAAAACAAGAGGTGCTGCCTCTCTGCTCTGTCCCCTGGGAGTCTCTGCACCTGTCACACTCTCCTACCAGTCACTGGGCACAATGCACCAGAGAACAGGGAGGCAGACCCAGGTACAGGACAGTTGTGGTCAGTCACCCTCAACCTCCTTGGGATGGGCAAGGTCCCAGCGGGCACAGGAGGCAGGAGGAAGCAGACGTGCGGGGGGCATCTGGTGGGATAATGCAAGAGCCTGACCAGGGCTGGAGGCAAAGCTCAGCCTATCTATACAGGAGCCTCATGAGATGGGCACTGTTGTTCCCCCAAGCTTTAGATGGCAAATTGAAGCACCAAGTTCTCTCATGGCCAGTATGGGGCAGAGCTGAGGGCTCAGGCCAAACCTGTCTGGTCCAAGGACACAGGCTTCTCCCAGTCCCTTGCAGTGCCCCCTTAGCTGCCTTAGCCTCTCCACTATGAGACATGGAGCCCAGAGTGTGGGTGTCATACACCTAAGGGGTCCTCTACCATTGTTCTGGGATACCTTACCTCCTTCCTGGCATCCTTCACCCTGCACCAAGTATATCCTGGCCTAACTGTGCCCCCCACCCCTGGCCTCTCCCATGCTCTGGATAGCCTGGCCTATCCCCTGGTCCATCCCCCTGGTTTGTCCCCTGGCCTGTCCCCCTCTTTTGTCCCCTGGCGTATCACCCTGGCCTGTCCCTTGGGCTGTGCTCCTTTGGTTCCAGCCCAGCTCATTGTTCCATATCTTACAAATGTTTTGGTGCCTACCCTGTGGGTCCTACTTGAGTCTGAGATGGGGCAGGAAAAAGAGGTGAGGCAGGTAGGGAGTGGGCACCCAGCACAACCCAATACAGCCCTATGCAAATTGAGGCAGTGCCGGGAGCAGAAAGAGCCACAGACTCAGGAAGCCCCAGGCAGCACCTCACCGCTGTGCCACTCTCTGACCCAGTTTCCTCACCTGTCCAATGGGGACACTGGCCCTGCCTCCTGGCAGTCTCTGTCTAATGAGGCCCTGCTTGGTTTGCTCAGCAACCTGTATACACTGAGACCAGGAGAGTGAGGAGTCCCTTCTATCAAGGCAAAAGCAATTGCCCATTCTTGTCTGTGCTCTCCATGCCATCCCATATGCTACCTTTCATTGATTATTCTTGTTAGTCCAAAATAAATGTATGCTCATTGTAGGAAAAGGAATTTATAAAATCAGCAAAATGATGACTTTAAAATCCTGGCTTCCAAAGCCAGCAACTGTCTATACTCATCTGTGCATTATTTTTACAACACAGTCATAATGTCCATTAGGTTATATAAACTTTTTAAATTTTTAACTGGATAAACCCTATTCTGTATCTTTCAAAACTCATTTAAACCATCAGTTTTCATACTTTTTGACTCTGACCCACTATACAGAATGAACTTCATGTTCTGACTTCATAGTCCTTGCACACATACACATATGCAACTTCAGAGCAACGGGTCACAGAACAGCACACAACCTTACTAGGAAGGCTATTCTGTAATATTTTCTCTCTCTTTGTTTTTAAATACTTTCCCAGTCCTCTAACTCAGTTCCTGGCCCACTACAGGGTTCTGACTGCAGTGTGGGACGCTGCCAATTAAACAGCAGTGGTGCTCTCACTGCCAGGGGACCCGGATGCCCTCTGTCAGACAACAGGGCTGCCCCATGCAGGGCTTTTAGCAAGAAGGCAGAGCTGACATCCTCCCACGTGAGTGCTCATGCACATCTCTATTCCTTCCTGCATCCCAGCTGAGGATGTGGCGCCCAGTCACCCTCCAGGAAAACAGTCCATCCCCCTCCCCCATTGAGCGATGATTGCCCTTTCCCCTGATCCACACCAGGAATTCTAGTTTCAGGATTTCAGGGGAATTTTTGGCTGGTTTGGTAGGTGAGAAATGACATTCAAATCATTGTCCTATTTTTACTTTCCTAATGGTGAGTGGGCTAGACTCTCATTACTTTCAGTCATTTCCAAAGTGTGGCCCTTTCTCCCAGTCCTGGGGTAAGTCTACTGAACTCACCTTCTCTGGGCCTTCCTGGGGTGCAGCCTATGCTCCAGGCCTAGCCAGGGAGCTCCACTTGCAGATGGCTGGGAGTTCAGTCCCTGAAAAATGGGGTTCTCTCTTTTCCCTGAGTCTCAGCAGCCCATGAACTACTCTGGGATCCCAGCATGCTGAGCTCAGCAAGCACTGGGTGGATTTTGTTCCTTAGGAGCAGACAAGTGCAGAGAGCAGGGTTACAGTGGGTTCTGTGGATGGTCAGGGTGCTGGACAGGAGGCTTTGATTAAAGAGCCTGGCTGCTGCTTTGTCCCAAGTAGATAGTGGGAAAAAATTGTTTGTGTTTATATATGAAGCAGAGGTTCATCATTTACACAAATGACTGGCAAGATATTCATGTTAGTTGGGACAAGGGAAACTTCTCTGACGGCGGAGGGTCGGGGGGAAGGACAGCAAGCATCCAGGCTTCTTGTACTTCTTCATTTGGCCCATTAATGCCAGAAGGTATGCCCAATCTTTGTGACAACCAAAAAATAACCTTATGAAAGTCCAA